GGAAAAAAAAGAAAGAAATCCATTTTTCACAGTTCCACGGGCTGGGAAGTCTAAGATCAAGGTGCTAGCAGACTTGGCATCTGAAAAGAGCCCAATCCACAATTCCAAGATGGACCATTGAACACTGCATCCTCCAAAGGGAAAAAATCCTTTGGTTTCACATGACGGGGCGCAGGGGGAAGCAACGAGTTGTAAAGGGGGACCGAACTCACTCCTCACTCTTCTATAAAGACATTAATCACACCCATAGGGTGAAGCTCTCCTGACATAATCACCTCTCAAAGGTACCACCTCTTAACATTCTAACAAGGGCAATTAAATTTCCACATGAGTTTTGGAGAGAACAAACATTCAAACCATAACAATGAACTTTAACTCTCACTGAATTATAGAGCCAAAATAAATATCAATACATCTAAGAACCTGACTATACAACCCCAACCCCAATTATACATTTGATCATTTGGAATTTTTATAAGAATACTCAATGCATGGCACATTTCAGTGATACAGTTCCTTAAAGCACTCTTCACAGAAGCATTCACCACTGAACAGTCGTTATTTTGGGTAACATTGCCATTAACTAAGATTATAGAGCACGGTCTTGAACTATCAAATTAAGGTGAATTTCAAGTTGGTGAATCTAAATGTATTTATTGTAGTTTAAGGATCACATTTATGAGCAGAAAAAAACTTTTCAAACTAAATCAATATTTTATATTTTAAAAACAATAAATATACCAGCAATCTCAGATATATAGGATTCTATTTTTCTTAAGAAGAAAAAAAAATAATAAACAGCTTTCTTCTTATTGTTTACTTCTCTGTTAAGCATAAGACCCTAACAGAAGGGTGCAGTGGCTCACGCCTATAATCCCAGCACTTTGGGAGCAGATCACGAGGTCAGGAGTTTGAGACCAGCCTAGCCAATATGGTGAAACCCCATCGCTACTAAAAATACAAAAATTAGCTGGGCATGGTGGCTGGTGTCTGTAGTCTCAGCTACTCGGGAGGCTGAGGCAGGAGAATTGCTTGAACCTGGGAGGTGGAGGTTGCAGTGAGCCAAGATGCACCAGTGACTCCAGCCTGGGTGCCAGAGTGAGACTCCATCTCAAAAAAAAAAAAAAAAAAAAAAAAAAAAAAAGAATAAGACTCTACCTTCCTGCTATCTCCCAAGAATAAAAATCACTGCAGTCGGCTGGGCGCAGTGGCTCAAGCCTGTAATCCCAGCACTTTGGGAGGCCGAGGCGGGTGGATCACGAGGTCAAGAGATCGAGACCATCCTGGTCAACATGGTAAAACCCCGTCTCTACTAAAAATACAAAAAATCAGCTGGGCATGGTGGTGCGTGCCTGTAATCCCAGCTACTCAGGAGGCTGAGGCAGGAGAATTGCCTGAACCCAGGAGGCAGAGGTTGCGGTGAGCCGAGATCACGCCATTGCACTCCAGCCTGGGTAACATGAGTGAAACTCCGTCTCCAAAAAAAAAAAAAAAAAAAAACTGTAGTCTTTCCTCTCAGTTTTGAAGGTAATAGAAGAACTTTTTCCTCTGACTCTACAGGTGGTTTCTAAAAGTGCTCTCCAGATGACCTGAGGTGACTGACAAGTCTATTTCACATTCACAAACAAGTTTAATAGGACCTGCATATTAACAAGAGTAATAATTTGTTAAAGCGAACCGGAATAATTTTTCTATTCACTTATTATCTAGACACTACTCTTCCAAGTTTCTCATTGGATTATTCTTTAGCTTACCATAGATGTAACTGATCGTGCATCTTCTTCATAATTGACCACTGGAGGTGGTTCTTTCCCATCATTTTCTTGCACTTTTTGCTCTAGTAATTCCTTCTGTGCTGAAAACTTTGCTTCTGTGCATCTCAGCTGCTGGACTGAGTGTTTCAGTTCTTCAAGTGTCTGTTTTTGGCTTAGCAAAAGCACAATACTAAAAGAGAATAAATTAAATATAAATGATTTTGACTTCATTAAAAAGACATTAAGGAAACCTCATATATGTAAATTATGCTTTTCTTTTATTTCATTTTTATAAGAGCCCGTTAGAATCATAAAAAAAATATAAAACTAAACACAGTTTAAGTCATCATAGTATTTATTAAACACTAGCATTAACAAAATAGAAGAATGTTTGGAGTCAAATCCAAATTCAAGATGATTTCAAATATATTATGATCTATGGCATTCACTTTATTTTAGTTAAACCATATACCTCACAGAGTAGACACTTAGACTGAGAAGTGTAGGGCCTAGAATAAACTAAAATGACAGAAGTAGAATCTTAAATTTACTTTAAGTATCAAAGGCAATATAGCTAGGGTCAGATCTGTGCCTAGGGTAAAATAAATCAAATCGAGGTGACAGCCTGGACACCAGGCTTGTGTATATGTTGTGAGGCATGTATGTCTGGAGGCAGGGGAAGCTACTATGACAAGGACTAAGGGCTAAGATGTAACTGGGAGAATGAGCAAAATGAAGGCCTCCAAATCTTTCCAACATCACCAATATAAAGACAGTAGACTTCCCCATCCCTCCTGTAGAGTACAAGGCCACAGGTTGTCTTATTGTGACTTTTTAACGCTTAGAAGCTGCCTTCAATGGGAATTTCAAACTAATTCACCCACATTAAAGCCACAGGTAAAGAGGTAGTAGTGGTAGCCACTTCTGGAAATAGCCCACAGTAAATATTACAATAATTTCCAAAAAGGACTGTGCCATGTACTGCTGAAAGTAAGTTATTAATATGTAAGAGACAACAGATTACAAATTAGAGAAAATGTCAAAATTGGAAAATAAGGTCAGAAAATATTCTTATATTGAAACTATAACGTTCAACATAAACTGAATAAATATTCACAGGCAGAAGTAGCCCACAGAGATTTATTTATAAATATGATGTTGATCAATATTTTGATAACTAAATTCAAATTTAATTGAGCTGGGTGCAACCTCAGTGACTGTTATAAAGAAAGTGGTAATCTCCTTATTGCAACAAGTTTCAGGTGAATGTCCTAACAAACGTAGAGAAAGTCTACGTTTGTAGACTAAGAAGTCTAAGAAAAGTAAAACTAATGAGTAAGAATATTTGTAAGAGACATAATGTTCAGAAGACAGACCTCTCCAGGGAATTCAATAAATGGTAATCAGCATTTACATCACTATCATTCAACAATCTGTGAGCTGTGTTCTAAATCCACATTTACATCACTATCATTCAACAATCTGTGAGCTGTGTTCTAAATCCACATAGATTTCTTGATAAATTCATGTTGGTTTATTTATTAGTTAGTAACTCCTTTTAAATAATAAATGGCATCTCTGATTTCTCAGTAATCTCAAGAGAAAGTTGATTTTTTAAAACAATCACTTTTGTGAACATAAATTTATAAGGACCAGGTCCTGAAAAAGACTGCTCCCACTATGTACTTAAATCTTCCAGAGGGTTTCCTCTTTGCGTCTCCTAGCTAACAAGAAAAAAAAAAGACTCCAATAACAACATCAATACAAGAAATAATTTGAAACACACAAGGTAAAGTGGAAAAATATTTTTTCATGTAGATCTGGATTATCAGTCACAAAAAGGTGAATGATTTCAAAAATGTGGGCAAAATCAACAGGGAGGTATTCTTCAAACTAATAATCCTCTAAAGTAGTATTGTTATAGTAATTTTACACAAACAAATTTCATAAAGACTACCAGGAAAAATTTTTAAAAAGATTTACAAGAATAAAAATAAACTTTGCAAAATGAAATCAGAAATGACATGGAACAAAGCAAGTAAATATTAACTGAACATCTGAATATAATTCAAAAACATTTATTTATGGAAATAAACAATATACATTTTACTCTATCTTAAACCTATGGTCAGCTGAATAATGAATCCCAAAAGATAACCACATCCTTATGCCCAGAACCTGTAGTGTTTGCTAGCTTACATGGCAAATAAACTTTCCTGGTATGATTAAGTTAAGGATGTTGAGATGTCAGATTATCCTAGATTATCCAGATGAGTCTAGGGTAATCATAAGAATACTTACGAGAGGAGACAAGATAAACAACGTCACAAAAGGTGATGTGACCATGGAAACAGTGAAAGAAAAGGCAGTGCAACCTGGGACCAAGAGCAAAGTAATGAGGACAGTGTCCAGAAACTGGAAAAGGCAAAGGAAGCAAATTCTCTCCTAGAGCGTCCAGAAGAAACCAGCCCTACGAAAAGCATAGTATTAGGCCAGTGAAACTCATTTCTGACTTGTGACCTCCAGAACTATAAGCGAATAAATCCGTGTTGTTTAAAGCTACTATATTTGTGGCAACTTGCTACAGCAGTAAGATGAAATTAATACAAACCCTGATAGACACCATATCCATTTTTGTTCATTTAAAAGGCAAATATTAAACTGTCATTAAAAGTTAAGTTTTTGAAAAAATATTTCAAGACATAAATATACTAAAGTTTAAAGAAATAGCTTTACTTTAACAAATGATTTCTCATGATGATTCCAAACTCTATGCCTTACTGTTATTTCACCTTTATTTTACCCTGGATAATAAATGGGATCTTCAAATGATTCAAAACATTTGTATAATTTTTTTAAATCACTAATAACATTCTCTAACTAGAACAATCCATTTTCTCTAATCCTCACTGGGAACCTGAATAGCCCCAATATGATTTGGCTGTGCCCCCACCCAAATCTCAAATTGTAGCTCCCATAATTCCCACGTGTCATGAGAGAGTCCTCTTGGGAGGTAACTGAATCATGGTGGCAGGTCTTTTCTGTGCTGTTCTCGTGATAGTACATAAGTCTCATGAGATCTGATGGTTTTACAAAGGGGAGATCCCCTGCACATGCTCTCTTGCTTGGCTGCTACCATGTAAGATGTGTCTTGCTTCCCCTGCACCTTCCATCATGATTGTGAGGTCTCCCCAGCCATGTAGAATTGTAAGTCAATTAATTAAACCTCTTTCCTTCTTCCTGCCCTCTTCCCACTCTAGCCCATGGCACCAGCACCATGCTCTTCTGTTCTTTTCTCAAGTCCCTTGTGGGCAAGGATGTGGTTGTGGAACTCAAGAATGATCTGAGCATCTGTGGAACTCTCCGTTCTGTGGATCAGTATCTCAGCATCAAACTAACTGACATCATTGTCACAGACCATGAGAAATATCCTCACATTTTATCAGTGAAGAACTGCTTCATTCTGGGCTCAGTGGTCTGATATGTGCAGTTGCCAGCAGACAAGGTCCACACAGTTGCTACAGGATACGGCAAGGAAGGAAGCCCTGCAGCAGAAACAGTGATGGCTCCTCCTCCTCTTCTCCTTCCTCTTTCACTGGTGATCCATAACCCCAAGTCCCAGCCCAAAATCCTAATCCCCAATACTTGAAGGGGTTTTGGTTTTTTCGTTTGTTTGTTTTCTTTTACTAATCATGGTTTTGTAGGGTTTTTAAAGGGATGAGTAGATAAGAGGAATAATAGAAAACAGCTATCCTCTGTTGAGAAGGTAAGGAAAGGTAGGCTGGAAAATTTCAAAGCCTTCTAGGCCCCAGCACTTGCCTTTCTTGCTACTTCCCTGGAGATGGTGGGAGACTTTCCTAGGTCTTTCCAGGGCAGCATGTGATTCATTTGGGGATGAAAGAAATCTGTCCTGCATTGAGAATAAAATTTATGATGCAAAAAGAAAAGAAATTAAAAAAAAAAACAAACCTCTGTCCTTTATAAATTACCCAGTCTTGGGTATGTCTTTATGAGCAGTGTGAGAAAAGACTAATACAGCCCCTACCAGTTCTAATTATTATTTAAATATCTGCTCATGGAATCCTCCAATTCAAGTAGGAACGCTTTCTTTAAATGACTATTCATTGGTTTTTGCGCTCTTAGAACCATCCAAGGTCAAGCTCTCATAACCTTAAGGCCTTTTTTCCCTTTCCTTTTGCTTGCTCCACACAGTTGCCTTTAGTCTTGTTGCTATTAATCATTCAGCCACTCACACAAATATGGGGGGAGAGTTATGGGAACACTGTCACCTAGAACGTTGAACATGCTGCCTGTGGGATTTTTTTGTTCTTATTGTTGTTGTTTTCATGTGGTATCCTCATTACTATGTCTGCTTGTGTGAGATATTTTGGGCAGATTATAAAACTACATCACAAGACCCCCTGCTTCTAGGAAGATAGAATGTACTGACTCTGCAGAAAAGAGTTAACATAGATTTAAATGTAAAATCTCAAACTATTTAACTTTTAGGGAAAAAAAAAAAACAACAGAAAAAAAACTTTGAGATCTAGGACTACGCAAAGACTTCTTAGACTTAACACCAAAGTACCAACCACAAATGTCAAAATAAATAAAACAGACTTTTTTTTGTAAGACTAGTCAAGTGTAGTATTGAGAAGGGGAGAAGGAGTAAAACAAGGAGTTCAATCTATAGCTGACTATGAACAATCCATTGAGTTATCCACTATCTTCAGACCTGCCTAAAATGGACTTCTTTAAAATTAAAAAATCCTGTTCTATGAAAAAGACCCTGTCTCTCGAGAAGATGAAACAACAAGGTACAGACTGGGAGAAAACTATTTACAAATGACATATCTGTCAAAGAACTAGAATATATAAAGGTCTAGAAAATAGAAAGAGTGCAAGAGTAAAACAAAACAAAACAAAGCAACCAAACATCCAATTAGAAAATGAGCAAAAGAGGTGAACAGATATTTTACTAAAACAGGATATACAAATGACAAGCCAACACATTGAAAAGATGTTCTAGAACATCATTCATTAGGGAAATGTATATTTTAA